TCCCCAGCCAGCCATGCTGGCTGGGGAATTCTGGGAGTTGACGTCCACACATCTTAAAGTTCTCAAGGTTGAGAAACACTGCCTTAAGGGAAAGTGTCTTCACAGACCTATCCATGTAGTTTTTTGGGCAAGAAAATGGAAGTTGGTGCCATGGCATTCTTCCAGATTATTTTTCATCTTCCCAATCTTATCTGCTCTGGCTTCCTAGTGGTCCCCCTTTCAAGTATTAACCAAGGCCAGCCCTGCTTAGCTTTTTTGAGCTCTGCCTGTTCTTGCCAACAAGTGGATTCACGTATTGTTCTAGGCAATAAAGCACCGGAATGGATTTGGCTCAGGGTGATACGGAAACTCAGCCACTGGATTTTGTAAACCTTTGTGAACGGTTTGTGAACCAGGGTGGTGTGGCTTATTCAAGAATCAAAGTTTAAAGCAATCTATGCCTAAATACCACATATACTCCTAGCCCTGATTATCTCTGTATAGTTGGGTTGCTCTTGGCCTGATCATCATAAGCCCGTTTCTGCATGCCATAACAGTTTTGGTGCACTTTTTCTCTTTTCTGCCCACCATCCTATGCTGCTTTCTTTGCAGAACAAGGTGGTCTTATGAACTGTGTCTAGGTTCTTTCCTACATTGTGTTGTATGCTTCATTGAAGCTGAACCAATCATATGTGAGGATTAACAATCCTCTTGAATGCAGTGAGGAAACCATGGCTTCAGCTATAGCTGTTCCACCAAATGTTTTGGGGATATTTGTTACTTCCCCCCCACAAATGCAGTCTCTAATTTGGGTGAGTTTTGAATCTCTTGGCTGCTTAATTCCCCTCTCCCCATTTGAAATTAAAGAGATCTCAGGGCTTGGCTTGGCTTGGCACCTACATGGTTCACTCTGTTGACCAAGTTTCAGTATTTATTCTTGGTGTGCATGTGTGTGTGTGTGTGCTGGATGGAAATGGAAGAGTTTTCTTGGAATGTTGGAACTCCAATGAGAATTACATAATTTCTCGAGCAAGCCGCTTCCTTTTCTTCTGAAACTATCTTGATGCTTCAGGATTCTCCTTCTGTTGAGCTTAAGTTTGTGGAGGCCCTTAACCCAGCTCTTGGTGAGATCTTTGGTCCCTCCTTTGGAAACTTGTGGTACAGTCAGACCCTGATTTTGCAAAGGGCTGCAAGAAGCAGGCTTTGAGGGCCCCTCCGAAGGTGAGCTTGTTGCCTCTCTGACTGTTTTCTCTTGGGAGTTTCTGATGCTTTTTTTCCATCAACAGCTGTATCTCTCACTTACAAGCTAGCTCCCCAGAAGGAAGCTGTGGTCTCTCTACGTCCTGTTCTCTCTTGCTTAAGAGCAAAGCTGACACTTGGGCCTCGCCTTCTGAAAATGCCAGGCTTTAGCTGGCTGCAGGGGGAAGCCCAGTAGCTCCCAGCGGGAACGGTGGAGTGGGGCCTTTCCCTGGCTATCCCGCTTCCTAACAGTAATCATGGAGAGTGAGGTAAGGTTTTGTGATTGCAGCATCAGGATTTTTACCGTGTGCTTGCGAGAACAGCTGTGCTCTCTTTCTCGTTGTCCTCCCACCCTTGCTTGCCCGTTTTTGTTTCTGCAACAGCTCATCCACCACCAGTCTCCTGACCTGCCTTGGCACCTTCTGTCCATCAAGCGGCCTCACCCTTGATGGACCTTCCCCCCCACCACCCATCTCCTCCTCCCCCCCATCAAAATTCCTCTCTCTGATTTACTCAGAAGCAAAAGGTTGGCTGATGGTGGTCTTCCGTTGTCCTTCAGGGGGTCCTTCTTTATCCACATCTGGAGGGCAACTCTCTAAGATCTATACTGAACACTGTTTCACTTCTTGACAGCAGCTGCGTCTTCTGCAAGTTGTGCAAGCCGGAGAACCCCAGGTCCCTTCGGGGCTTATTCGCAGAGGCAGATTGGTTTTTCTCAGTTTTGCAAATGTTTTGTGAGCAGCTGCAATTCTCCCCTCTTTTCCTACTTCCTCTCTGCTTCATGTCTGTTTGCCCAGCCTAGCAAAATATGTTGCTTGGTAGCCCAGCAGCTTCAAAAGCAACCATGTTGCTTGAACAGTAAAGGCTCTGGGGGCTTTCCAGATAGGAATTGGGCTTTGTGAGAGGAGGGGGCCTCTGTAAAGGACGTGAGCTATGGCCCCACCTCAGCAGCGCTGCTGTAGCTCTACTCCATCCATGCTGTAAAATAAAATAAGCATGCTACATCCCAGCTTATGGGGTGAGAAAACTAGAGAGGAACTTCTTACATCAGATACCTGGTTGGGTGAGGAAGGAGCTGCTGCATCCTGTTTTCTCTTCACTCTGGAGGTCCTTGTGGAGCTTTATTTTTTGTCATGCTGAGCACGTTCAATCCTTCTCCACTCTGGCTCCCTCATTCATATTTAAAAATTGCACGACTTAACAGAAAGTGCAAATGGTTCAAGTTTCGCTTGATCACCAGAAACCTGTGGTGAAGAGATAGTAGAAAGCAACAGCTTGCTGGCCATTTTGAGGCAGGCAGAAGGAGACCAGCATTTCTCGCTCCCCCCTTGACCCAGGGGTCCTGATCAAAGCAAACAGTCAGCCAGGGGAATCCCAGCAGATCCAGTAACGTAGGTTAACCCAGCCTGGCTCCCTGCGCTTTGAAATGAGTGTCTACAACCCATAGAACGACCGGTGCTGCTCTTTGCCTCAAGATATTGCACCTGGGCCCAGGGGCGTCTCCTCCTTGAGCATGGAAAAGGCATCTCCCCCAGCAGGGATGTTGATTGTACTGTGGAGAACCCAGTTTTGGTTATGGGAGTTGGGAGTTAGGCATATTTGTGTACGTACCTGCTACCTTGGGTGATTCTAAAACTGACCACATTCTGTCAATCTATAAATCATTAAACTTTGTGGAAAAACAGACTGGAGGAGCATGGAAATAACTGCTTATGAAGCCAAGCTGGAAATATTCCTGTAATATGTAAGCTGTTGCTTGAAGAGCCATGTGTGACTCTCTCTCTCTCTCTCTCTCTCTCTCTCTCTCTCTCGCACACACGCACGCACACACCCTTGCACTGTTGCAACCCACATTTTGCTCAAATTTTGCAGGTGGAGTAGTGAAAATGCATTGTGCAATGTTGTAGACCAGCCTGGGTTCTGGAGGTCAAAAGATTGGAGGGTTAAAGAAAGCCACTCGACGCTTGTATCCTTTTTAGTTAATAGGACTCTGGAGCTGGCAAAGAACCAACTCTCCATCTGAAAAAAATCATAGGGACAGGTGAATAATGAGCCCTTTCAAAATAAGGACAAAGCCACCGCAATTAATATAATGGCTGTTCACCTTATTGAGAGAGGGGACACTGCTCTGCTCCATGAGTACATCTTTTTAAAAAGAAAAAGTTCCATAATTGATTTACATTGAACAGTAGCTCTGTAGGTGCATGAATCAAACTGACCAAAATGCAGAGTAACCTAGGAATGTCCCTGGATCGTCCTCTCCCTCATCTCCACCTTTCCTTTGCTTGCAGCCTGGAATAGTGTCCCCTTTCAAGCGCGTCTTCCTGAAAGGTGAAAAGGGTCGGGATAAGAAGGCCCAGGAGAAGGTGACGGAAAGGCGTGCTCTGCACACGGTGCCTCTTTCGTTGCCTGATCGCTTTGAGCCGGACGTCCTCCTGAACGATTACATTGAAAAGGAAGTGAAGGTAACATCTTACTCTTTTCCAGCTTGCGTCTTCAAGACACATAGGTTGAAGTCCCAAGCTGGTCCCTGCACAGGCCCACTTTAAATTTGCCGTAGGGCAACAGCCTTCAGATGAGAGCTGGGGAGCCTTTGGTTTTCTGGATGCTGTAGCTTTTACTTCCAGAAGCTCCACCTGCATGTTCAATGGTGAGGAATGCTAGGCGGTATCATTCCTCCCTGTCTTGAGGGCCCCAGGTTGCCCACACTTGCTTCAGGTCTTCCAGTGGACTAATTGTAGGGCAGTGTCCCCACTATTGTGCTGCTGTTCAGCTCTTCCACAAGTAGGAGTTCAGCAGGTTTAATGGGAAGGTTCGCCAGCGGCTGGAGATTCAAGGCTGGGGACTGTTCTCATCTTCATATTGCCTTGGGGTGTTACGAAATTGATAAACCACATTGTAAATGGTGCTTACATTATCTCAAAGTCAGCCCATGTTCATGGCACGCCATCCGAATCAGTTTAAATCAAAGACTGGGTATGAGCATCTCTACGTTTGACCCGCTGCATGGTTTAGGTCAGGAGCAGACAATCTGGCATTTGGAAATAGTTTGAACCTCAGCTTGAACTAGCCCCAACAAATGTGGCCAAACGCAAGGGATTGGGGCAGTTGCAGTACAAAAGCCTAGAACGGTCAGGTCACCTTCCGTGATGTCTCAGAGAATGCTTTTCTTCTTTAAAAGCCAGCATTTGCCTGCCCCTCTGGAGGGCACTGGGGATCAGCGAGAATTCATGGTGAGGAATTGTTCCAGTTGCGTGTTGCAGGTTTTGAAGATTTTGCAGTAGCTCATATCAGAGGGTTGGGAGTGAGGAGTCATTTGTGCATTTCTCTTTAACTGTTTTTTTTTTTTTTTTGCTTTCCAGTATTTAGGTCAATTAACATCTGTCCCAGGATATCTGAATCCCTCCAGTCGTACTGAAATTCTGCATTTAATTGACAATGCAAAGGTTGGTGGCTGTTCCTGAGCCTGGAGTCGGTATTCACAGTGAAGATCCGCCTTAAAGCTATTTATGAATATCTGTGATTTTATAATCCAAGATATAGCGCTTTTTACTTGCTCACACTGAACAGTTTATGCCATTTTAATTCCTGTCCTTCCATTGGAAGAGGGAGGTTTTGCAACCCAAGAAATTGGACATTGTTTGGAAATTTGGTCTGCCTTCTATTCACCCCTAAGTGCTGATCATTGGTCCCTGTTTTTGCTTGGAGGGCCATTCAGACAATAATGAGACAATAAATTGCTTTAAATTCACGTGGGGTTCATTTTAACATTAATCAGAAACTGTTTACTAGGAACGGATGGCTGGGTGTATGGACAGGTAGTCCTTGCTTAATAACTGTTGGTTTAACAGCAGTTCAAAGTTACGATGCTGTCAGAAAAAGTGCTTTACAACCTGTACTCACACAACCATTGCAAACTGTCACTCCACCCCCCCGCAGTCACATGATCGTAATTTACAACCTTTTTTATGACAATTGTAAAGTGAATCATGCGATGATTAAATGAATTCCAGCAAAAAACATCCATTGGGGAAGCTGGATTCACTTAACAACCACAGTGAATCATTTTACAACTGCCATAAAAATGGTGGTAAAATTGGGTCCAGTCACGTGGTGACCTGCTTAATGACCACCCTGCTTAACGACCAATTTTCTGGTCCCTATTGTATCGTTAAGCAAGGACTACCTGTATATGAGAAAAAGGACCATTTTTTCTCCATTCATCTCTTGACAAATCCTTTGTGGCCTATAGTAGCCTTTGGGGTTATTATTATTATTTTATAAGGACTTCCGGGCCCCAGGACTTCCTCCATCTCTCATTTTCTCTGAGAAATGTGCTTGCTTCAGGTCTAATTGAACACTTTTAGGATCTTTTTTCCCATGCCCAGTTTTCCTGTCCTTCATAGACTGGGAAAGCTGTCAGCAGAGAAGATGAGATGTTCATGACCTCCCCCTCTTTTTCTGTCTCCTTTCTCAGCGAGCGCGTCAGCTTCCTGGCCAGCTGACCCACGAACACGATGCTGTGATCAGCCTCTCAGCCTATAATGTCAAGCTGGTCTGGCGAGATGGCGAAGACATCATTCTCAGGGTCCCCATCCACGACATTGCGTCGGTTTCCTACATCCGGGATGATTCCTCACATTTGGTGGTGTTGAAAACAGGTAGGCTGGGACCAGCAGAGGGGCGGCCTTCCAGCCAGGGAAGGTGCCTATAAGTGTCTGAATGGGAGGTGGCCAAATGTGGAATGCAAGCCTGAAACAATAAATCAGGATGAGAGTGAAAGCCAGGCTTATGTGTATTATACATCCACCAGCGTGTTAGTGCAGTACCCAGCATCTTGAGAACTTCAGTTGCAGATGTGAAAACTTGGGAGGACCTTTGCACCCTCTTGGAACCAAGTAGATTGCTGCATGGAGCTTTATTTGTGGGACATCTAAACAGCTTCCCCGAAGATAACAGCAGGAGTGGCATCAAAACGCCAACGAGAGAGGGCATGCCTCCCTTACTGCAAAATTGTGGCATTTATTTTTTTCCCCCCACGTAGAAGAATGTGGCATTCTTTGGCTGTTTGTGCTAAATAATGATTAGCTGTACAGTTTTGCTCACACTTTCAAGTGTTTGGAGTAGCCCATCTGAATTTTTGTGCAATCTTTGTAGTGAACAGGGTAATGCTGACAGGAAGCCAAAATGAAGTTTGATTCCTTTTTTTTTTCCCCATCTGAAATGTACTGAGGACATCTCTGTTTGTGGTTGCTCTATCACAGTGTTTCTCAACCTTGACACCTTGAAGACGTGTGGACTTCAACTCCCAGAATTCCCCAGCCAGCACGTCCACACGTCTTCAAGGTGCCAAGGTTGAGAAACACTGCTCTCTTGGGTCAGATCTCCAGAAGCACAGAATGTGCTGTGCTCCTGGTCTTGCTTTGAGAGCTTGAGCTTCACCACAAAGAAACTCTGGGGGCTCCTGGAATGGGTTTTCTCTTTAGATTCCTAGAACTGGAAGGAATCCTTAAGGCCATCAAGTCCAACCTCTGACTCAGTGCGGGAATCGACACTGAAGTGTCAGAGACAGATGACTGTCCAGCCTTGGCTGGATCACATTCAGGAATGGAAAACTTGCTGCCTCTCTGAGTCATTGGTTCCACTGTAGAGCTCCTCTTACTTTGAAGAAGCTTTTTCTAACGCTCAGCAAGAATTTGCCTTCGGGTCACTTCTTTGTGTTCTGTGCTCTGGAATGACGGAGAAGAGGTCTACCTTCTTCGGTTAGTTATGAAATGCTATCATATCACTCCTGCTCAGTTATCTTTTCTTGAGGCTAAGTGTTCCCAGGCCCATCTTTCTCTCTTCATTAGATTACTGCTCCAATCCTTCTCACTGCCCTTCTCTGACCTGTTCCAGTTTATCTGAACCTTTCTTCATGTGATACCCAGAAATGGATTCAATATTCAAAGTGGGATCTGCATGTGGTTTTGGAAACTGTATTTTTGTTTCATAGTGCCTAAAACGCACGCCTCTTTTTTGCAGCCGCATAATATTGCTCACTCATACTCAGCCTGTAATCAGCTGTTGCTCCAATCTGCTTTTCTCAAATCAGATGTCCCTTTGTACTTTTGATTTCTGTTTCCTAAACAAAGAACTTTGCATTGATCTATTCTGGGTTTCATTCTATTATTTTCAGCCCATTCCTTTAGTCCATCAAGATCTTTTTGAATTTTATATCTGTCTTGTAGAGTGTTAGTGCCATCTGCAAATGTGATAAGCATTCCTTCTACCTCTTCATCCAAGATGAAGACTTAAAGGCCAGGATGAATTTAGTGGCACTCTGTTCAATATCTCTCCCCCGTTTTATGAGGAACTATTGATGAGGACTCCTTTAAGTACAGTTTTCAAGCCAGCTATGTATCCACTTAATTGACTTATCATTCAGCACACAATTAATTAAATTGCTAATCAGAATATCATAGGGTGCTTTGTCAGATGTTTTGCTGAGAGCAAGTTATATTGTGTCTGTAGCATTCCCACAGTCTACTAAGGGCATTTTCCAATCAAAGAATAATGCAAGATTACTCTGCAGGACTTGTTCTTGTCAAATCCTGGTTGACTCTAGTAACTATACGAGAGGGGCAGTTTGGTGTAGTGGTTAAGGTGCTGACCTAGAAACCAGGAGATGGTGAGTTCTAGGCCTCCCTTAGGCATGAAAGCTGGCTGGGTGAGTTTGGGCCAGTCCCTCCCTCTCAACTCAACCCACCTCACAGGGTGGTGGTTGTAGGGAAAATAGGAGGTGGGAGCATTAGGTAGGCTGCCTTGAGTCACTCAAAATAAAGGTGGGATAAAAATATAATAGTCATAAAAATAGTAACTATACATAAAAGATTGGCCAGACCCTCAGCAGCTTTCTTCAGTACATAGTTGTGAGCAGAAATTCCTTTATGGTGCAGTAGCCGCTTATTAAGACCTTCCGGGTCTTCTCCGATCCTCTTCCCCTTGGTTCGCCTCTGCCGTGCGGTCCCTTGCAAAAGGACTGCAGGAAGCTCATCACGATGTTGGCGGGAGTCTGTCAAAGAGGACTTCTTCAGAGCAAACTGGGACCTAATTCTGATTGCTTCTGCCATTGGATAAGAACTGACCGGATGGACCCTGCCGTCACTTACACAGTGTCACCTGGCCAGACGCAGGAGACACGCCGTCTCTGGCGCTGTGCCCCCCCTTGAAACAGCATTCCGGCCCCGCCTCCCCGCCCCCCAAGATCCAAACTGCCCCAACCATCCCTCCCTTTCCTGGCTTTTTCTCCCGAGGCGTTGGGTCAGGAAGTTTGGGACAGCTCTGGCTGGATGAATGTGCCTTCTGGGCAATGCGTTGCATGTTTTTAATGGGAGGGGGGTATTGTTGGCTGTCATGTGTTATTCTTACTTCTGTACACCGCCCTGAGTCGCATGTCGATTGGGCGCTCTGTAAATTGGTTTAGTTAATAAAACGAATGTACCGTGTATGCTGCGGACCAGTAAATGCTGAGCTGGGCTCGGGGTGGAGGGGTGCGGGGGCTGCATCTCGTGTATGGGCTCCACTAACAGCCTCTGGTTTTTCTCAGCTCAGGACCCCGGGATTTCCCCCACCCAGAGTCTTTGTGCTGAAAGCTCGAAAGCTCTCACATCAGGGTCACTTTCAGAGACCGGAGTGGTTCCGATTGAAGCTTGTTGCCTGGTGATCCTGGCCACAGAGAATAAAGTAAGAGCCTCGGCCACGGCTTTCTGCGATTGCTCTTAGGGCATGTCTGCGGGAGTTGTCATGCCTCGCCTCGGATAGGTGGCAGCAATGTCGGAAGGGCAGGCGAACCGTTGACTCAAGAATTAGACGTCCTTCTGAGGCAGACAGGTGGAGTTCACGTGCCACATTGTCCCATTTGAAGCATGGTTTATGGAACAAACCACAACGGGCTGATTTTGCACCGGGTGCTGAGTCCTAAACTGTTTATGGTTTACAAATCTCAGTGGCTCTGTTCCTATCAGATGCTAAGCCAGAATTCTGGCAGTAGACCATAAAGGATGCTAGAATCAGAACACACTGAAGCTGATTGCTGAGTTAACCTACTTTCCAGGTTCACACAACACAGAGAAACTGAACTGGCCAAATGAGCTGGGTTTGCATAACACCCTAAACCAGT